AGGGAGAGGAGGAGGCAGGAGGGGAGGAGGGAGAGGAGGAGGCAAGAGGGGAGGAGAGAAGGAGGCAGGAGGGGAGGAGGAGGAATTAAGGGAGGAAGGAGGGGAGGAGGGAGAGGAGAGAGAAAGAGAACCTTTTGCCTAGCCTGGCCCACAATGGATGTTGATTCAAAGGTGCTGGCAATGGTGGGAGCCCCCAGGGGGCTGTGAGGTAAGTACATGTAAGAAGTGGACTCCTACAGGTAAAATCTGACTAATAAAATTAGCTCAGAGCAAAATGATTCTTCAGAGAAACCAAAACAGATGCATAATTAGAGATGGAAAAGCACTAGAAAGGCAGAAAGAGAAAAATCAACTTAAAATAGCATCATCTCTAGTGTGCGGTGTTGCTGTTTACAAGCGGGATGTGGGCTATTTTCTTGAAGCACACTCACAAGCATTCTGTGGCTCCGAGTGGCTAAGTGCCCCGAGGAACTGAGCGCAGAAATGAGAGTGGGTAACGGCGGAAATACCGAACCCCAAACGCCAATTGCTTTACATTTAAAATAAACAGGTTTTAAACAGACTGTCCCACAGCTTATGAACTCGGTGCACGTAACTAATTGTGTGCTATGTGTACTAGCTCCTGAGAGCGCTTTATGATTTATGGAGTTTTGCTGTTGCTGTTGTTCAAGTCTCTTAACCACTCTCTTCTCGGTTTTGTAGTTTGTTCTGTAATGGGGGGAATCCCAGCCTTACAAGTCGCAGGGGGTTATTAACGCGTGCTCCTGATCACCTCACTGGCGCCCTCGTCTTCTCCTCCCACAATTCCTCCTGCTCAGTGTTACTATATGTATTTAGAGGAACCATCCAGAGTATTATTCAAGTGCAATGGCCCCATCAAGAATCTGAGCGTAGAGGCGACTCCCTCCTGCTGTTCAGGAGCCTCAGAACACGACCCTGCTTTACCCGTCCACGCCACCCCCTCATCTAAACGCCTGCCTGCTCACCCCCTCAACGCCACGTTGACTGCAGCCTACGTGTGCTAATTCTCGCAGCCTCTCTGGAATAACTGACGTCTCACTTGAAGGCACAGCCTTCTTCCCAAAACCTCTCTCGAGCACTTGGGCCCTGACGACTCTGCCTGGGTGTGAGGAAGAGGAAGAGACTGGAAGAGGAGACACCACTTTCTGTAAGCTTAGGACCTGTTCGGGCAGCCAGGCTACGGGCACACGAAAGTAAAACAACGAGAAATAAACAAGCGATGAAATACGTAAGAGCTACGGAACTTCAGACACATCCACCGTGTGCACATTTTCTACACATTTTAAAACTGTAATCCAAATAACGCAGCTGTCTGAGTCACTATATTTTACTCAATCAAAGGAAATACTGGAAGCTCTTTAACCTGGTCAGAAAGTCATCATTACTCGTCAGAAACCCAGACATTTGTCCTTACAGACGAGGCTCACACTCTGGAATGTTGGTAATAACGCTGGTGTACCTTCTAGCTAAGACGACTCAACACAGAAAAATGGCACTTATGGGGGGAGGGTAAAGCTCAGTGGCGGAGCGCGTGCTTAGCTGGTATCAGGTCCTGGGTTCAATTCCTGGTACTTTCACTAAAAATAAAAATTTTAAAAAACAATATGAGGATGTAAGGAGCAACCATAGGCCAATAAACTTGACAATTTAAGTGAAAGGAATACATTCTCAGAAAAATTCTACCAAAAAAAGAGAAATGTCATTTATAATTGCTTAACTCTACGAAGTGGGGAGCAAAGGGAAGAAACAATTGAAAAATGATTAAAGCCTTTCACATTTTCTTTTACTTCTTTTTAAACCTTCCCCTTCCTCCAATAATGTTAAAAAAAAAAAAGAGCAAGTGATGAGGTCAGCAGACGCCATAATTAGCCTAGAATCCAAGTCATCACTTCCTTTCTCCCTGTGGGAAGTTTCAGAACTGCTGACACTGCTGCTTAATTAAATTTAGAGAATTTTAGCAGCTAATTTCTTTGGCTTCACAGGACAGAGAAAACAACTACATATTTACTTTACTGGTGACAACATGAAAAGTGCGAATGGACCCTCTTTACAAATTCAAGTGTGCGCAGTGGAGAATTACACTGATCTAGCTTTGGGACTAGTGAGCGCCTTTGCAGATTCGGAGAGAGCCAGCGCTGTGCCCCCTGGAGGGAAGGATCTGCCCTCACCGTCTCTCTTACGCACCTACTTGCTTTCAATACCAAAAAGACAGTGCAACAGCTTCTAGGCAGATGCCCCCAAAACTACACCTAATACTCCTGCACCAAGTCACTCTCCCTCATTGCTCTCCGGGCTTTGCGCCTCCACTCATCATCCAGTTGCTCCATCCAGAGTGTCCTGTGGCTTCTGCGGACTCCTTCTCACCACATAAAGACGTCCTCCCCACACGGGCCGGGGCACTTGAGCCTGCTTCGTGACAGTGTTTTCTTGTCTCCTCAGCTGGTTCAGTCAGATCAGGATATTGTCAACTGCATTTCTTGCAAAGACATGTTTGGATTCGGGTATGAGGTTGCATCCTGGTGCTCTGGGGTAGGTACCTGTTTATTCCGAAGCGCTGGCTCCTGTAGGTGACTTTCTGAGACCACCCGCAGTGTAGGAGGGCTCCCTTTTCTCCACAGCCTCTCCAGCATTTATCGTTCACGGACTTTGAATGATGGCTATTCTGGCTGGTGTGAGGTGATACCTCATTGTAGTTCGATTTGTATTTCTCTGATAATTAGTGATGCTGAGCACTTTTTCATCTGTCTATTGGCCATCTGCAGGTCTTCACTGGGAAACTGCTCGTTTATGTGATCCCTATCAAATTACCCAAGAACTAGAACAAATAATCCTACAATTTATCACAAAAGACCCAGAACTGCCCAAGCAACACTGAAGAAAAAAAGATCGAAGCTGGAGGAATAACCATCCCAGAATTCAGACAATACTACAGAGCTACAGTCATCGAACAGCATGGTATTGGCATAAAGACAGACAAATGGATCAGCAGAACAGAATAGAGAGCCCAGAAATAAACCCACAGACCTAGGGTCAATGACTCTTTGACAAAGGAGGCAGAATATACAATGGAATAAAGACAGTCTCTTCAGCAAGTGGTGTTGGGAAAACTGGACGGCAGCATGTAAATCAGTGAGGTTAGAACATTTCCTCACTCCATACACAAAAATAAACTCAAAATAGCTAAAAGGCTTAAATATAAAACAAGGCGCGATAAACCTCCTAGAAGAAGACACAGGCAAAACATTCTCTGACATGGATCTCAGCAGTGCTCTCCCAGGGCAGTCTACCCAGGCAATAGAAATAAAAGCAAAAATACACAAATGGGACCTAATTAAACTGACAAGCTTTGCACAGCAAAGAAAATCATAAGCAAAAAAAACGACAACCTATGGAATGGGAGAAAGTATTTGCAAATGATGTGGCTGATAAGGAATCCAGAATATATAAACAGCTCATACAACTAAAGAACAAAAAAACAAACAACCCAATCCAAATTTGGGGGCAGAAGACCTAATTAAAATGTAGCTTGTGTTCTTGAACTTCTTTTCCACTATAACCGGAAAACTGTTGCAGGTGAGGGAGGGGAGTTTAGTCTTAGATTCCGCTCTGGGGGACATTGTAAGACTGCCAGGGAACAATCCACAGGCGTGTGTGCAAACACCACGTACTGTTACAGGAACTCAGCACAAGTCTGGGGAGCACACAGGCAAACGATGGGAGGGATTTGCAGGCAGAGGGGGTGTTGAGGGCCCCCACCCCTCTCTCTACCTGCCCAGGGCACAGCGTGCACCTCGTCGACCGACATCATTAAGGGATATTTCAGAGTTTGAGCACAAGGTGGCAGAAAGGAAACCCCACACAGCCTCAGTGCAGCCTACACGAAGCTCCGCAGTGGCAGTCTGCATGCGGGTCTCCCCGGCGGCTAGGACTGGGCAGCAATCCCACACCCCTGTGCGCTGAGCGCTGCACCACACGAGCCGGCAGCCAGTCCCGACCCCCTGTCCTTCCGGTCACCACAGTGCGAGTGCACACTGGACACACGTGGGCCTAGGAACAGCCCTGGTCGGGAACCTCCAACAGGGAGTTTGCTGCACCATCCCCTGTGGTCTTTTTAGTTGAAAGAAAACTTTTCTTTTTACTTTCTACTTGCTTTGAGCCCAACTTGACATATTTCATCTCCAGAGGTTTCACTTACATGTTTAAGAACACACAACTTATAAAAGATTGCTTCAATGGCAAACGGGAGAAGTCAGATAATGATGTTAGCATCCTGTGCTATCTCACGCCACGCCCGCGGCCTGGTCCCACGTGAGTCATCCTGGCTTCACAAATAAGCATTTACGTCTGTTCTATCGGCAGATACACATTTGGTAGAAAATGCTATCCGAAAATGTCAGGGTTTTTTCAATCTAATTAGTATAATTGCTTAGACGAGAGAAGCAGAAGTGTTTTTTTTTTTTAATATCTATCTATTTTCCACGATGCCAGAAAGGTGACTGCTGGCTGTGTTTCTTTGGTTACCGTGAGAGTGGTGGCTGTCAGGCCTCTAAATCTCCTGTCACATGAAAGCATTTGTGAAGCTGAAGCCCTGAGAAAAATGCCAGGTTCTTGTCAAAGACCCTTTTTCCTCGTATCACTGGCTCCAAACAAAATTTGATAAACTTGGACTTGAGAGTGTTCACTCCAATTGTGAGTCTAGTCCTGCTTGAGTCAGCCCCTGTTTAAACCACATTTACACTCTGATAAAAATGTGACGGTTAGAAAGACACGGCCCAGCACCCGCGACCTGCAGGCAGCATGGGTGGGGGGAGACACAGGTGTCAGATGTATGTCTTTTTGAGGGGAGGCGGCAGAAAAATCAGGCCAACAGTGTAAAAGTCAAGCTGTCTTTTGAGAACTTTCTCTCAGAATTGCCAATGATGTGATGGAAATTCACTAGGAAATTTTTTTTTGCAAATAAGGTTTAGAAACAAACTTACTGAACAATGTCCAATTGTGGGTTTTCTGACGGACAGCCATGGCCTGGACCTGCAAACAGACAAAAAAATGCAGAGTAAATATTAGCCACTCCTCACGTTTTATTCCACTGATCTAACCAGGGGAGGCACCAAGTCAAAGTCAAGTCAGAAGACGAGTATTCGATGTATTTCAGGCCACAGTGGCCTCTGTGGCCATCACGGTTGGCCCCATGGCTGTGAGAGGACCCCGCAGCCCGGGACCTGCCCGTGACCCTGGCCCCTCCCTGGACGCGGGGGCCCCCTCCCTCCCTGCTGTCGGGCTGGCCGTGTGACTGCTGTGAGTCTGGGGGTCACTCGACACTCCTGAACAGGAACACAAGACATGGCCGTCTGGTTTGCCTTGACCTCCTGTGTTTGCCCTTAGCCATGAGGGCAACATGCTCCAGAGGACACTCCCACCTGGCTTCTAGAACGAGACGGCCCCGGGACAGACAGGCAGCCTGGGCAGAGCTGCAGAACCACCCCATATGCCGCCGTGTGTGCGATTCCAGGAGCTGCGAGCCGTCTCGGGAAGCCACTGAGATTTGGCGGGGGGCGCCTGGGGCCTTGGCGGAGCTGACAGTTGGTGTCCCAAGGCCGCAGGGACCCTCCTCTCCTTTGGTGCCGCACAACCTGCAAACCAGGCTCCGAATGCCGACTCTCGGTGCGTGCGTTTGCCCCTTAATGCTTTTGTAATCTTCCACGTTGAGTCTCTCCCGTGAGCAAACCTACCTCAGGGGTCACTTCCCTAAGCCTCCAGAAATGTTACAGTGCCACTCTTGACAAGGCACTGAGTAAAGGACATTCCACACAAAGAATTCGTTGACAGGTTATCCGGGAACCTGAAATTCCGGCAACAATTGCAAAAGCTCATTATGAGGCTGAAGCAGACCTGAGCTGGTTAATATCTGAGGGCTACTGAAGCGTGTGGGGACCCCTGGGATAAAGATGGCAAACAGACAGGCGGGGGTAACGGTCACTTTTGGGAAGCAAGGAAAACCTCAGCGGGTGTTTTGGTGACACAGAGAGCGAGCCTTCATCCTCCGCCCAGGAATCTGCACACGGGACAATCCCTGACGAAGCGGGTGTCCTGCAGGTGTGAAACTCTGGCTTCCGGTGAATCGTCACCGCAAGCCGCAAGTCGCCAGCGGGTTCACAGTCTTTCAGACACACAATTGGCAAATGTGCTTGGGAGGCAAGATCTGCGACGCAGTGCTGTGTCAGCGTGCAAATTAGCACTGGTTCCTCTTCCAAAGAAGGAGGGAGACATTTTTGACAGAACCAAAAAGAAAGACAAACAAACAAACAAAAGCTAGAAGAATCTGTTGGAAAGAGGAATGCCCCTCTTCTCCTAAAAGAAATAGAAGTTTTTTTTTCTGGCTTTTTGAGACCATGAGACTGACTTTGTAATATGTACTCACTTCAGTAACTGGTCTACACTGACTATATTTGCATTTAAAATACGATCACCTTTAGAACCAGGGGAGGGGAGTCACGCTGAGAAAGCCCGACACGGCTCAGCCGGGCTCCAGGCTGGAGCCGGGCACACCGAGCGTGAGAGCACAGCCTGTCCCCCTGGAGCCCCCACGGCTCCGGAGGGCCCGCCTGCCGAAAGAGCGCTTCTCTGCCCGCCTGTCTCGGGGCCGCTCCGGCGGCTTCCGGTCCCGGCCGAGCAGTCCTGCCACCTGTTCCCCTTCAGCATTTGTCATCGCGCTCTGCTGTCTTGCGCATCAGAGCTGGGATATTTTATGAGGCTTGTATTTGTCACTTTATGTTTTAGAAGTTCAGAAATAGTAAGCAGGTGAATACATCTTTTCTAAACGGAAAGGCATACTAGATTTTTTTTGTCTCACCTACTGATACACTACTATGCTTAAAAAAATGGAATTGAAAATCAATTTCTTCCGTCATTCATCTGGAATACCTTATAGGTTCCATGATAACATAGTGTCTGTCAAAACGCAGTGCGTAGGCAAATAATAGGAGGAAATCTGGGTTTGAGAAGTATCTGCTTCAAACTCCCTTAGAACGTCTTGTGTTAAGCAAACGGCTTGCTGCATACTTCTTCGTTTTACTGGAGCCCAATCCAGTCACAGCTCTTCACACTGCTGAGAAATAAAATTCCATTTCACGTTTCAGTGTCCATCATTCCATCAAGTAAAGCAAATACCATGGCCTTTGTAAGAACTTCATGCACAGACTTCATGAACTGGGGTCACATCGTGTTTCCTGCAACCTCCCGTCAGCGACCTGTTCTCCCCTGGTTAGGCTGTAGCGTGGATTTAATCCTGCTCTCGGAGCCCGTGGCAGAGAGGGGACATCTGGCAGTATTTCGGCTTTCTCAGGGAGAACGCAGAAGTTAGGACAAGAGAAGCAGCTTAACTTACTTAGGAAGATGGTATTTCAGGGCTGTGAAACTCCCAGCTGCAGAATGGTATCACTATTAAAAAGTGATAAACACTCAAGACTTCGTATAAAGCTACAGTAATCAAGAAAGCGTGTCACTGTGGAAGACAAACAGTGCTGGAGCCAGAGACACCCACACAAACACACGTGGTTCCCGTGTGGCCTTTGACAGAGGGCCAGGGCGGCACAATGCTGGGCGTTCTCCTCAACAAACAGGCAGGAACCCCGGGCGCCCACACACAGTAGTGTGAAACTGGACACGCACCTTACAGCCGTCACACAGCCCAGCTGAATGGATCACAGATGCACACGCGGGACACAAGACTGTGCGACGCCTAGAAGGTAACACAGGAGAAAGCCCAGACGGCCCTGGGCTTGGCAGTGACACGGCGACTTTCAGACACAACACCAAAGAAGTGATCCATCAAAGAGCTGACCACGAAGACCAGACCCTTCTGCTCTGTGAATACGCCGCCACGGGAATGAGAAGCCAAGCCACAGGCTCGGAGAAATACGCGCGGAGACACACCTGATGGAGGACTGTTATCAGAGATGTGCAAGAATCCTTAGAACCGCAAACATAATGGTGGCTGTGTTTCATCACACATCCCAACCCGCAGAATGAACACCAAGAGTGAAGCCCAACGCAGACCGTGGGCGTGGTGGTGGTCCTGGGCCCTCGGAGCAGCGCAGTGTGGGCTCGTCGACTGCAACAGATGTGGCGTCTGGTGGGGATGCTGATGGGGGAGGGGCCGAGCAGGGGGAGGGAGGGGGTACACAGGAAATCTGTACCTTCCTCTTAACTATGCTGTGAACCTAGAACTGCTCTAAAAAGGGTTTATTTTTTACGTAACAAACATTGGGTTCATTATTTTCGAACTGCTTGTTATTTACATTCCTGTCCAGGCTTTCGCTGGACAGTGCAGCTGAATAGGTGTTAACACTCTGGGACCATGGTTTTAACTTTCAGGTGATTCCGCCGTGATGAGTCAGGTTTTGGAACTGCCCTGCACATGACTAATAAGGAAAGGAAAAAAATGGGGAACACGTTAACCGGACAGAACGCATCCTTGCAAAATCACGCCTCGCAGGTTCTCACTGCTGTTGGACGTGCCCCGCCTGCTCCTGGGTGAAGGAGCCCGAAACCGCTCTTTCCTGTCCTGGTTTCTCAGACGCAGTTTTGCCCGAGGTTAGATGCTGGACAGGTGAACACGTGTGGATGTCGCTGCTGGGGGCTGCAGTCTCAGACCCTGCCTCTGTCAGCCAAAACATGACGTGATAAAATACAAACGTGCCACCTTGGATACAGTTCATGTTAGAGTATCACCAGAAATAGCAGGAGGACGCAGTTCTCTCACGTTACAGCCGTTTCGACGATGACGTTGAGGACAGCGCAGTGGGTGAAGACTGAGCAGGCGTGGGGCTGCCTGTCTCTGCACAACTACAGCGGTAAGAATTCTCCTCGTATAATAAAGCTCAGCACTTGTAAATGTATTTGTCAAGAAAACTCAGGGATTGACACACAGTGTGTAGTGGTTATAGGTGATTTTAGTATTTATTATTATTCTTTTAGATGTAGATATTTTATTACATATTTTTATGTTTTGTGTATTTCCTAAACTATGCTTTTTTAAATTCAGGAAAAAAATAATAAAGCTTTATGTATCTATAAATAATCTTTATACATACAGGGTTATAATAATATACAATATATAATAATGTCATATAATATAGAATGTTCTTACTACACAAAATCTTTAAAGATAAAATATTCTTTTATTTTGGCAAAATGGCCAACTAAAACATACTATAGATAACATACATACAGGTATAACACAGGCAAGCAAACGCACTGATAGGAAAATACATATATTAATTGGGGAGGGCGTGGCTCAGTGGCAGAGCGTGTGCACAGCACGCGTGAGGCCCTGGGTTCAATCCCCCAGCCCCTCTGTTACAATAAATAAGAAAGTAAATAAACCTAACTACCTCCTCCCTCCAAAAAAATGAAAAATTCATATATTAAAAAGTACATACATTCCTGTAATTCTGTACATAAACTGTTGATGTAAATTGAACATCCGATGCCATTCACGCACACCATCTCTCTATGAATATAATCATCCTAAAATACACACAGCCCCAAGATAACTCAGATTATTAGAACTGTAATAAATTATATTAATAAGTTCTCTGTCAAAATATTCTTTTAACAAAGTCCGTTTTGTATACATGTCTATCTTTAGGCTCCATATTAACTTTTTGTTGTAAGCGCTTTCTGAAGCATGTCTCACATCAGGCAGGTTTTATCACATTGGGACTCTGGGTATAAAAAGGTAAACTGGGGTTATAAGCTTGGATATACTCGTTCTTACCAGCCTGCACTTTTTATTGGAATCTGACATCTTTATCAGTGCAAAGGGGGCCTGTGAAACGTACAGGTACTTGCCGGGCATTCTGGGCCCTGCGATATGAGCCTGCGGCCCGTTTTGGCAGGTGGTCACCCTGGGTGGGCACAGCACACGGGCCCTGGCTACGCGTGGACTGCGGCTTAAACCCTGACTGGCAAAGCCCCTGCAGCGGATCTCCGGTCGCCCTGCTAGGACGCAATGATGAGGCTCCCAG